AATTATTATATTTACAAATACAAATAACTAAATAGCTAATAAGATAACATAATTATAAGAAAACATAAATACTAAATTAAAGATTATATTTTAAATAAGAAAATTATATTACTCAATTAATATTTTAGTTTTAAGTTATTTTAATTAAACTAAATTATTAAAACAGACTCGCGCGTAGCGCGAGTATAAAATCTAGTATTATTTGAGAAGTCACTTTCTTAGGTGTCACGCTCACGTTAACTCTCACGCTGGTTGATTACTATGATACCCCTAATGAATTAAAAATATTATTTCCTTTTTAAAATCTTCCAAATAACAATATAAAACAAAAAGGATATATTTCTAAAATTTACAAAACTATTTAAAAACGAAAAATAAGTATATATATAATATCGTTTCATAAAAAAGGAAAGTTTACAAAATAGTAATATTTAACTTAAATATATTTTTAAATAACATAAATTATACTTTTTAAGTAATTATACTTTATATCTATATCTTCTTAGATGAAAAAAATATTTGTATATAATGTGTTTTCATAAAAAAAATTTCGTACAAATAATCTTGATATTAGAAAAAGAAATATTTTTTCTTTAAAAAATAATTTAAACAATAAAATATATATTTTCAAAGTAAGTACTTTTTGTATATATCTATCTATTTTATTAGATGATTATATAAAATAATTAAGTAACATAAACTGATATATGTTTAATTGACAAAACAAATTATAATTAGTATATTTATTTGATTATAATATCTTACCGTTACAGCAAAAAATATAAATTATATTTTACTTATATAATATAATTTCTCAAAAACAATCACATTTTTACTGCATATTTTAAGAGATATTAAAAAAAAAAACTAAAAATAAATTTAATGGTAAACATCTTTTGATCAGATAACTACAATTCTTTTAAAATATCATAACACTATATAATTTAACAAGGTAGATATATTATATTTTAATAGTTAAAATTATATGTTTTCTTAATAACTCTTTTTATGTTTAATTTTCTGTTTTTATGTTTGTGGAATTTAATATAACCATAATCAAAATACTTAAGAAAATTATAATTCTTTATTTTAAAAATTATTTAAAATAAATTTCAGTTTACCATCCAATCAATCTAAGGCATAAATTATTTAAAATTTCTAAAATTTTTAATTATTGTAAATATTGATATGTTTTCATAAGCTTCTGAAATTTTATTATTACTTATGTATGTAATTTAGAATCAGACACTTTAGTTTTTATTTTTTTCGTTCTAAGCACAAAAAATATTAAAATACATAATCTTACTAAGATATA